GCTAGTACTGCTCTCTTTACCCTCAGGATATGAGTTAAACATGATGACAACGATTGAGGATTCAAGTAAATAAGTAAATGAATGATATCAATCCTGAATGAACGTAGATCTCAGGATACTGGTGCACGAAAAACGAATGAACAAAATAAATCTCGACGATATCAATAGCTACGAAACGCAAAATCCGAATAATGTAGTTTTGCGACGACAAAAATAGGTGATATTTGCAAAGAAACCGTCAAAAATGTAAAATAAATAATAAACGTATACGCAAAATAAAAATTGTTTGTGCGGAGCACCAGACTCACTGAAAAATATCAGCCGTTGGGTGCTAAAGAAAATGGGTTAAAAAAAATTCGGGCTCACCAATTTAGCACGGATACTATCGAGCTGAATCTATGACACGTCTACGTATTCTATTGATCGGGCTTGTTATGCGGTTTCCTAAGACGAGAACGAATTGAGAAGGGAGTCTGATACGAGCGTTTAGCGTGTATGTNGCGGAAATTGTACAGAGAGCAAGCGCACGATACAACTCACCGGAAAATGTGTCAGGGTCGAGGTCATAAGAGATCTCGAAAAGGAGGACAATAAAACAAAATCGGGTCTTTACATTGATCACGGGAGTGGCGATAGAAAATGAAAAGTATGTTTCTACAAGACCATGTCGTCACGCACAGTCTACAGCTCTTCCAGTCAATCATACACTGGGAAGTACTAGACACGAGTTTGGCGCTCATCAGTAGAGTTTATCCATATCTTGAGGGCTTTGAACTCTTTGCCCATCACATGGAAGACGTGCGTGTTACCACGGTGCCAACTAGCTCACATCAGGGCTGAACCGCACAGCTAATTCATATTTATTGAGGTGTTATCTTTATTAATAGTCAGTCATTTCTTTTTTAATGGACTTCTGAGGCAAACCGAATACCCAATGAACCGGTCACGGAGTGAAAAATAAAAATCCGCATGTTGATAACTAATCTGTTTCAATTCAGTGGAATAAAATATCACATAGTGAGGGACGGGGATAGGAAGGACTTGATTCATATCAATACCATAAAAACTTGTTTGACTACGAATGTTGGCGGTTCAAGTACTGGGTTTGTGCAAACTTTCAAGTCTTGATCACATGACATAGGGTGCTTGGGGTGCATGCGTTTGTACGGCTAAGTGGAGCTGACCCACGTTGTCCAATTTCCGTTGACATTGACCGCATCGTTTTATGGCTGCACATTGCTCGTGGAGGACAAGATCGCTTGGCTGTTTCAAAAACAGTTCTTCCAGTTGTTCACGATCTTTCTTCTCCTGAATAGCTTTTACCCATTCCGATTCCAAGTATTGCCGCATTGCTTCCTGAGCCTCACGTCGTTTCAGACCGTCACAGATTAGTCTGAGGAAATGGAATAGACAAAGTTTAAGTTGGAGAAGCGAGAAGACAAGTTGGGGGGGGGGTACGATAACAAAAGATTCAATGAATACAAATGCATTGAACTGTCAACAGTTTTCATCTTACAGGCACATGCTTTAATCATTCAATCAGTACCGATAGAAAGAATTGGAGCAATCTGCAATGGCACCTCCTGTTCACATTACCTTCACAATGAACTATACCACTTACAAAGGTGCTATTTTTCTTCTGACACAGTTTTGCGCATGAAGTTTTCTTCATTTATTGTGAACTCTGGTTCAATCAGTGCTACACATGTGTTACGCACTTTCCACGTTGGGGTCCGAAAGACTCCGTATCCGGTTGGTTGGACACATTGAACGACATGGCAGCGAACCGACTGCAGTGGTGTTCTTGTTGTCAATTCTTATCAGATCAGAATGTTTAAAACGATATGTATGCAGAGTTCGAGTGTGTGCTCTGTGTTGATCATAGGAGTTAAACTTCTTCCCACCCACCCCCGTCCCAGTCAAAATAGGTTCAATCGCTTTCCATCTTACATGTGACCACTAGCATTGTATGCATTGGGAGTTTGGTAGCGATTAGTGAAGTTCGCTTCACTGTATTTCGTTGTACGATGATGAGAATTATGACACGCTTCTGATTTGCTACTGTATTGTTTCTTCGCATCATCGAATAAGTCAACTCTGGCTCGTACAGTTATCGACTAACAACATGATACATCAATTTGTTGACAAAATATCGCAAATCGGTTCTCGTAGCTGAGGAATTTCATTTTGTCTTTTCGACTAGCTATTGGTAATTTGCTTGGATTCGCATTTACCTCAGAGTTACTTGTGAGTATTGGTGTGGGACAATTGATATTTATTGATTTGAACTGACTATCTTTCGGCCTTCACCTTCACGCATAATCCTCAGTTCATCGATTTAACCATACACCTGGAGGCACTAGACTCGAGTTTCACTCTGATTAGAGCTCATCAGTAGTGCATATCCACCATCCCGTCCGGGGTTGGAACTCCGAACCCAACGCATGGAAGGCGTTCGCGTTACCTCTGGTATGAGCTAGTCGGCACAGTGATAAGGCATACTGATTTGGTTTATTGTGTGCTCTGTTCGCAAACGGCAAAGAAATTTCAGTGTTCAGCTGTCAATACTGATACCGATTCGTTGCCCGTATCCTTCAAATGCACGTCATTCCACCGGTTTCTGTTTATCATACGGCCAAGTGAACTACTTGATTCGTAATGCACAACCGCACTTATGGATAGGATTGTTTCCTAGGCCAATATATGCGACTTGAAGAGATAGTACTCAAAATCTAAGTTGCACGATTTGTACCAGGACAGATTTCGCTGCATCTCAAATGACACATAATACGCAGAAAATCAGTTTAACACACGCACACACACACACATACAGGCTAGGATTCCATCTTCGAATTGCCACTGACTCCGTAAACTTTGGTATAGATGATCCTAAATCAATTATTCCGGTGCGAACTGTCATTTATCATCGACAGATGTCGGGATTCCATTTCATCTGTTCGCCGAGCGATTGACAATTTTCTGGCAAACATTACATCACCAGCAGATGCGGCATCGTCAATGCTTGTCACCTAGGCTGGTGTGATGGAACGTTTGCATCCAAACTGCCAATTAATTAGCGAACAGACTAAATGGAATTCTTCGGTTCAACCGAGCTATCATAACAGATTTTCAGTACTTTTTCAGATGTCGGGATCGCACGTCGAAATAGAACTTTAAGGACAGTTTCGAATTAGTTAAACTAACAGGTTTTGAAAATCGAAGATAAATTCCTGGGTTCCATAAATATTGAATGACCATTCACCCACTGCGTGAAATAACTGAATGCACCTAACAGTAGGTAAATCGAACAGTATATCCTTAAAGTTCCATTACCGATTTCGGAGCTGGAACATCTTTTCTTGTGCACATCAGACATCAGCTTTACTTTCCGAAGAAAAGATTACTGAAAAATAGATGGTGCGGACGGGAAGCCTCTTGGGACTTATCCTCGCGGGACTGTTCGTCACTAAGTTGGAAAACGAGGCGGCCGATATCTCAGATCAGTTTGCATTATTTAGAAGATAAGTTGAAGGTGTACCCATCATAAGACAAGATCAACAACAATTAACTTTTTCCTTTGGATCGTGAACAGTTTGCGCAAAAATATGCATTCTTCCGCCCTGTCCTATTTGTGTGAAACAAATGTACTGTCCAACGACCTGAGCTATTGTTTTTTTGCCGTACTGTGCCAGTTGAAATGCAGCTGAATCTATCTTGACCGAAATCGCGCCACCCAGCTTTTTGTGTGGTCTCTCTCTCTCGTCACTTTTATCTCCAGAAATAAATGTTTCACTTGCGTACAAGATGCACCGTATTCTATAATTACACTTAGTGGTCTGTGTTTGCTTTTTGAATATTGGTTTAGAATGTCCTTTTCGCAAAAACATATTGACTCGAAGTGCTAGGAGCGAAAGGGCCGCGGACAGCACGTCAAAACGGACACACAATTCGCCTCTGTGACACAACAACCTGTATAAACTGAACTCATCGGTTAAAAGACGGAGAGAACTAATCCGACTTGTGCTGCACTTCAGTAAAGAATTATGTCAAAATAAATTACCCAGAACTGTACCGTGATATATAGGCAAGGAACTCTCCGCAAAGGTTTGATTAGGGTCGAAAGTACTTCGACGAACTGCATACAACGTGTGTAGTCAGTCACTTTCAAGAAACCAGCTAAGTCGACGAATATGAAATGATAACTTGAAACAAACCGGTGGAAACACTCAAGATCAGGCCAATAATGAGGATGAACAGTCGCCGATGATCAACGGGGGCAAGGAA